TCCGTTTCTTAAAGAAATGACGTCATGGTTGCCGGTGTACAGCTTCGCCATCAACAGCGCCAGCTCGTTGGCTTCTGTGCCGGAATTCGTAAAAAACACCACCTTCAGGTCGCCGGGCAATTTGGCGGCTAGAGCCTCGGCGAAATCAGCGACGGCGTTATTGAGATAGAGAATAGTTGAATGTTGAAGCTTTCTTGTTTGATTGACAATGGCTTCCACCACTTTCGGGTGGCAGTGACCGCAGCTCACCGTCGCGATTCCGCCGAACGCGTCTAAATATCTCCGCCCATTTTCGTCGAATAAATATTGCATCTTTCCATGTACAATATTTAGCTGCCCAAAATAATAATAATAATAATAATAACAATAATAATCCCAAAATAATTGAGAAATTAAAACATGGGAATTCAATGAGAGAAACTGACAGGTTTCTTATAAAAGAAGAACATTGAAGGGCTGAGGAATTCCTTCCGTTTGGCTAAAATCTCCTCGCCGGACGGCCCCTCGTACGGTGGCGGAGTGTAATCAAAAGCCGGCAATTTGGGAATAAAACCCGCTTCATTGTCCTTCCGGGCAACCTGTACAGAGTACCACCGTCGCCACCGGTTAATTGACGACAATCTTTCGGACACTATCCGGTTGCCGGTAATTCTCAGCATTATTTATTTATTTATTTATTTTGGTTATGAAATGGAAAGAGAGGACGTAGAATGAAGAAGAGGGGAGAAGGAAGGTTTATAACTTTATAGGAAGATGGAGGCTGAGAGGGGAAGATTAAAACAAAGGATGACGTGGCGGGTTATGATTGGTGAATTAATGCCCATAATTCCCTTTTTTTTATATAATAAATTTCGAGGTAATTTTAGGCCTTTAGGATTTGTGGCTATGCATCTGCCCTACTCAATGCCCCAAGTTCATTCAACTTTCTGTATTGGATTACTTTGAATCAGGACAACGGCTTCTTTTTTTTTCCTTTTTTTTTAAATTTAATGGCATTTTCTTAATTTTTTTGTTAATTAAATGGCAATTTGTGGCTGTTATTGTTGAGGATTATTGGGATTGGGAGTGTCCCACATTGGTTAATTTAGTGGAAGATCATGGGTTTATAAGTGAGGAATACTATCTCCATTGGTATGAGGCCTTTTGGGGAAGCCCAAAGCAAAGCCATGAGAGTTTATGCTCAAAGTGGACAATATCATACCATTGTGGAGAGTCGTGATTCCTAACATGGTATCAGAGCCATGCCCTAAACCTAACCATGCCAATAGAATCCTCAAATATCGAACAAAGAATGGCGAGCCTCGAAGGTGTAGTCAAAAGTGACTAACATGTCGAACAAATGGTGTACTTTGTTCGAGGGCTCCAGAGAAAGGAGTCGAGCCTCAATTAAGGGGAGGCTATTCGAGAGCTCCATAAGCCTCAGGGGAGGCTTATAGTGTGCTTTGTTCGAGGGGAGGTGTTGAGGAGGGCTCCAGAGAAAGGAGTCGAGCCTCAATTAAGGGGAGGCTATTCGAGAGCTCCATAAGCCTCAGGGGAGGCTTATAGTGTGCTTTGTTCGAGGGGAGGTGTTGAGGATTATTGGGATTGGGAGTGTCCCACATTGGTTAATTTAGTGGAAGATCATGGGTTTATAAGTGAGGAATACTATCTCCATTGGTATGAGGCCTTTTGGGGAAGCCCAAAGCAAAGCCATGAGAGTTTATGCTCAAAGTGGACAATATCATACCAATATCATACCATTGTGGAGAGTCGTGATTCCTAACAGTTATAGGGTTTATAGCGTCTCCATAACCCTTAACTCCAAAAGTAAATTTTTCTTGTAAATATGTGAAGGGTAAATATGTGAAGGAAGACAAAACATCTTAAAATAACTCATATTAGTTTGTGAGAATAGTTTTCACTTTTAAAAATCTATCCAGGAGTCATTTTTAAATCTTAATTTAGACATCATGTTAATCCTAAATTGGAGTACGGTCGTTTTGTTTGTTTTGGATTAAGCAAAAACGGGCAGATTACGATTAAGTTGCTTTGTTGTTGGATAATAATAAACGGCTAATTTTAAGGGAAGATAAACTATAATATAAAAGGAAAGCGAAGGCAAATACTCCACGCCAAACTGTGTTTTTAAAAAATATTAATAAATGAATAAATAATACTCCACGCGCAGGAATCTTTATCCATCTTGTCTGAGTTGGAAATCATCACTTAATTTACTATATCCAAAAGTGAAATTATAAATTTATTTTATTTTTTATTATAAATTTCTATAATTTAGGTCAAAATAAATTAGTTTATATTAAATGTCAAAAATATTTTTATTATTACACAAATCAAGCAAATAAAACGTAAAAGAGTATCTTTTGAACTAAGGCAGGTCGGAAAATTGGTTGGGGATGAAGGATATAATTTTTCTTTCCGACCCTATTTATATAATGAGGAGAAATCTCTTCTCACTCACTCTCCCATTCTCGTTTTAAACGGAGAATCTTTGCTCTATTCTAGACGAGTCCTTGCATGTTAAATGGACAACTATGAATATAATATAATACCAATATATTAATTAAAGTTTTTTAATATACATCAACTCATATTATTGGCTGTCATCGCCAATATAATTCTTCCAACATTTGTCAATTTCTTTAAATTTTTCGAATAATATAATTTGGAGATTGAAATAATTGTGAAATATGAAGAAGAGAGAGAGAGAATGAATGTGGTTGAAATAATGGGCAGATGAAAGCTAGCCTTTCCGACTCTCTTTTTTCTGTCCTTTTTCTTTTCTTTCTTTTATTTTTTTAACTTCTTGTGTTCTTGTTGTAATTTAATTTAATTTAATTTAATTTAATGAACACCTGCTTCGTGTCACATCCCTTGTTTTTGTTCGAGCTCCAGAGAAATGAGTCGAGTCTCGATTAAGGGAAGACTATTCGAGAGCTCCATAAGCCTTCGGGGAGGCTTGTAGTGTACTTTGTTCAAGGGAAGGATTGCTGAAGATTATTGGAAGTGAGTCCCACATTGGTTGATTTAGTGGAAGATCATGAGTTTATAAGTGAGGAATACTATCTCCATTGGTATGAGCCCTCTTGGGAAAGCTTAAAGCAAAGTCAATCGTGAGTTATTTTTTGAACTCGAGTTTAAAAGTTTAAGGACTAAATTCGTTAGTTATCTAATTTATTATTATTTTTTTAAGCAATCATTTTAATTGAAAGACCCTACTTTTAATTAAACGACACACCAGGTGAAATAAGAAATCATTATCGATGCAATTATAGAACAACTCACTGTCTTGTATGCGTTTTCGTGTCGGATTTCCAATCAACATCACTCTCAACTCTGTTCTTTGGATTCATATATTATTATATGGTTAGAAGTGGAGACAAAGTCTGTTGTGGAAAAAACAAGAAAGTGATTATTTTGGGCCTAAATTAAGACACATTGGCCCATTTATTACAAATTGGGCCAGCCCAAAATAATCAGAGTAGGCTTGATTTGAGCCCAGACTGTCGGTGTTGATAGTTGAAGCCCAGAATCAGCCCAATTAGGGAGCTGACGTGGAAGATCAGACGTCAGAGAAACGTGAGAATCAAGTCATCAAAGAGTGTGTCACACGTGGACCCGAAACGTGGCAGACAACTATAGCATCAAATTATGGGAGTGAAGGAAAGAGGCAGCCCACTACGAAGAAAGTCGCTGTCGAGTCAGCAAACTCCGGGCTCTTATTTTATGGTTTGGTCCCACGTGGACCCCTTTCTCAACCCACTCCCACTCTCTTTTCTCCCTCCTTTTGCGTTGGGAACCAATTTCCTTGGCCTTCAACTTCACATTATAATTGATAAATATAAAAACATTTGCATATTTATATTTATTTTTAAATATCTTCAATGAATATCTATGTATTTAAATTTATTTATTAAAAATAAATAATATATTGTCTTATAAGTGGGAGTCTACATTATTAAATACCTTTAGGCATGCATGACATTCATATTATACTATGAAAAGAAAGAATAATGCTTCTGTTGTGACATTGGCTCTGAATTTATTTTTTTAATTCATAATTCCTATTTTACTATATAATTTTTATTAAAAAGACGATATAATTTTTTTTAAAAAAATTAATATCCTAAAAATAATTTAATATAGTTTTAACTTAAATATAATAATTATAGTCTCCCACGCATAAAATATAAGAAAAAAACTTATTTATTATTATATATTTATTTATATATATATATACATATATATATAAAAAAAAACAGTATCAGACCACCCCATTTAGCTAAAAAGGAAAAATTCCTCCCATCTCTCTATATCCCATTGGTAGCCAGTCTCCACTGGGCTCAGCTCTGTGCCTTAATTGAACATTTCTAAATACTCATTTGAACTATAGCTAACGACGTTCATCTGACCTAGTGAATCGATCCACTCAAACTATAAGAGTTTAGTTGGATTACATTTTTATTTCGATTTGGGTTGGGTTGAATTTTTTAAAACTAAAAATACAATTTGGTTCGAGTTAACTCAACCCAATAATAAAGTTCCCAAACCAACCCAACCGAGGTCCAACTCAATTAAACCTATATTGCGAGTAAGTCTGAGTAAATAACATATAAGAAAATGAAAAGAAAAATATATATATTTCCTTAATCACTTTTTTAATAGAAAAGTGTAATAAACATTTTTTTTTAGCGAATATGTTGTAATATATTCTCGGCCAAGAAATTAACGGTTTTTAGATGTTTGAATAAATACAAATATTATCAAATGTATCCAACCCTCCCCAACTCAAATTAAAAGCATAGGTTATATAGATTATGATGCAAATTTAACTCCAAAGAAATGAAATAATAAATAAATAAATAAATAAGATGTGTCACATGGACAGGCTGTAGGTAAGGATAGCTTTAATTACTGCTGGAATTTACTTTAACAATTATGGATAAAAAATAATTAATAATAGTTTGGTGCAATTAATGAATCCACTAACATTTCAACATTACAATAGCAGCCCAAATGAAAGCTCTGACCCTTTTTTGGAGTGGGATGTGGAATCCTGTCGCCCTTCCCCACGCCACCATCTTCATGTTTCTCTTTTCTTTTCCTTTCTTTCACTCAAATTTTCCCGGAAAATTCTAATGATTCTTCTTCAAAATACCCATTTCCCGGAAAATTTTATTTGTTTTCTGAATTTTTTTCGTGTAATTTCCTCTGATGAAGGTTGGTTCTGCGGCTCAGATTTGTTTTGTTCTTCTTTTGTTGAATCTGGATCGTGCGATTTGCAGAACCGATATCGTTCCTGGTCACGAGGTTACTCTGGCAGTGCCGGCGGAGTACGGCGAAGGGTTCATCGGAAGGGCATTTTTAATTGAAACGGAGCATTTACCACCGCCCAATTTCCGAGCAGCTTTAACCGTCGAAGCTACGCAGGGTAACTTTTCTTGTTCGTTGCAGGTTTTTCTCGGAGAAGTTAAGGTTTGGAGCTCCGGTCACTTCTCCCGGTTTTTCACGGCGGAGAAATGCGTCCTTGAACTCACTGACGACGGCGACTTGAGACTCAAAGGACCAACCGGACACGTCGGGTGGCGGACGGGGACTGCCGGACAAGGTGTGGAGGTACATAGAACATTAAAACGATGTCGTTTTGTAATCAAACCTGTTGAATTTGAATTTGAATATGACTTGTGTTTTTTTTGTTAATCGATGCAGAAACTGAGAATTTTGAGGAGTGGGAATTTGGCATTGGTGGATGCATTGGACGGCGTTAAATGGCAAAGCTTCAATTTCCCAACGGACGTTCTTCTTTTAGGGCAGAGTTTAAACGTCGCTACCCATTTAACGTCCTTCCCACCAAATTCAACCTCTTTTTACTCATTCGAAATCCAAGCTCAAAAACTTGCTCTGTTTCTCAACTCAGCCAAATCCAAATATTCTTATTGGGAATTCAAGCCTCCCAAGAACATGAACCTCTCATTCATAACGCTCAATACCGACGGCTTGGATATCTTCAACGATGAAGCCATGAAAATTGCAGCAATCCCATCAGGAACGGCTCAGCCATTGAGATTTGTAGCGTTAGGGAACAAAAGTGGCAATCTTGGGCTTTATTATTACTCCACACAAAAGGGTATTTTCGAAGCTTCAAATCGAGCTTTAAAAACCACTTGTGATCTTCCACTTGCTTGTAAACCATACGGGATTTGTACGTTTTCCAATTCCTGTTCTTGCATTACATTTCAAGTGGAGAATGAAGGGGATGATAATTCCAAGTGTAGCGACGAAATTAGTGGGAAATTTTGTGGGGGAATTGAAGGGGAGATGGTTGAATTAGAGGGAATTAGTAGTATTTTACGTGATGCTCCTAATAGAGTGAATTTAAGTAAACGGGAATGTGGGAATTGGTGCTTGGAGGATTGTAAATGTGCGGCGGCTTTGCATTATTCCGGCGGTGGCGATGGCGGCGTTGGCGGCGGAGAGGAGTGCTATTTGTATAGAGTGGTGATGGGGGTTAAGGAGATTGAGAAGGGGATGGGGTTCAGCTATATGGTTAAGGTTCCAAAAGGGACGGCGTTGGAGCGGCGGAAGTCGGGGTTGAAGAAATGGGTTCTTGCGGCGGTGGGCGTGGTTGATGGGTTGGTTATTGTCGCTGTTTGTGGAGGCCTTGGCTATTACTTCATCAAGCGCAGGAGGAAGAATTTGATACTCGGAGATACCAATAATTCTTGAATTGGAGGGTTCCATTTGTTCATTTTCTCTCGATTTTTTTTTTTTTTTTTTTTTTTTTTTT